TGACATGCAGAAGAAGACATTGCATCTGCAGGCAAGGAGGGAGACAGATTGCCTGATAATTAGCCCTGGGATGTTAATGACACTTACAACTATCCCCCTGCCCAGTCCCCTGCACTGAATGGGGAAGCTGCAGCGTGCACAGGGCAGCAGGAGACCTTGACATGCTGGAGGTGAAGTCTCAGCAGGACCAGCTGTGCTGGTTTGCAGTGGCAAGATTGAGAGCAGGATTTAGGCACAGGGGATGGCTTTAGATCTTCCAATATGAGTGCAAATTACCACTGCGCCTTTGGTTTCTACTTTCCTGGCTGTGCCTGTAGGCATGAGAGAAACCTGTTTCCCTGTGAACCAGTGACACCAGATGTGGCCTTTGGAGAATACCCAGGGAAGGGAATGGGGGATCTCCATCCGTATGATCCACAAACACGACACCACAGCAGAGCTAGGCAAAGCTCAAACCTGAAAAGTCAGGAAGAATCTGCCCAAATAGTAACGAAGATGCAACATTGCTACTGTTCCTGGGAAATGAAATCCAAACACAGAGAAGTTTCTTTTTATTTGGTCAAAACCTTTCACTCTGATTGTAATCAAAGCGTCGCCGTCTGCCTCGCCATCTCCCTGGTGGAGATGGGGTCACTGGGGGTATCTCAGCAGGAAAAGCAGGAAATTTCTAAAGGAAATGTCTTTCAAAACAAGCCTTTGCAGTAAGAACACATCCATCTTATCAAAACGCCTTGTTCCCTGTTTTATTTTTAAACCAAATCTGCCCAGATGTGCGCTGTGAATCCCTACCAGTCTGCATCACCCAACCGTGCCTGTGGCTCACACCAGCCCTGCAAGGCCAGGAGAAGAATTCAGGCATTTGCTACCCTCTGCTGTCCTCCTCCTGCTATTTCACCTCCCTCTAGCAGACGACACAGCTATTTTCCTCTCTCTTCCATGTCCCTATGTCACCTACCAGAGAGGCATCATCATCCTTCACATCAGAAGACACTGAGCCTTTCCAGGTGTCTTTGGGCTGAGCCTGATGCCCCCTACAACCATCTTCTCTCCCAAACCACTCAGACACTTCTCCCAAATATTATCATGTCCATACACAGAGTAGCTGTGCTTCTCTCCTTTTTCCACCTAGCTTTTTCATTCTGTCCTTTCTGCTTCCCAGATGGTCCCCTTGCCCCTAACCCTACTCTTGTGCCACTCTTCCCTCTGCATTGCTCATAAATACAAATCAGCTCCACAGGAGAGCTGGACTCTGACCTGCCAAGCACTGAAAACCCTTCTGTGCAGGTCTCAGAGAACAGCCTGGCACCACCAGGATTAATTCTGAGGGGATATCAGTGCAGCTTCTGCCTTTATTAAGAACCTTTGACCCTTCACAGAGGAAAACAAGCCAAGAGAGAAATGCCAGCCTTGTTGCTTTGGTGCATACATTGAATATTTATCACCACAAATGTTGTTTATCACAGGAAGAAAGATCAGGGCATAATTCCTTCCTAATGAGCCATGTTCAACTGACTCTTGATAGGATCTGAAGTGTGGAATCTGTTTATCTGCAATCAGTTGTTTACCAAAGCCGCTGAGATGTGCCATTCTCCCCCAGGAAGCCACTGCCTGTCCCAAGGGTCAGGGGTTTCACAGGAGATAAATGTGACCCAGCAGTGCTACCACAACTTGTTGATTGCTTCTGATAAAGAGTGTCATTGTCTTTAGCAGAGAATGTTCCTGGAGCAGAATATCGTCACCAAATCATTGGTCCCAGTCTGAAACCAAGAGACTGAGCAGCTCTGGTGACATTTCTAGGTGATGCTTCTTGGATCCAGTCTACGTGTTGCTCCAGGACAGTGGGATCTCTTTAGCAGGCATCATGATCTCAAGATATCCAGCTCTGTCTTCCATGGGCATTCAAGGACTGCAGAAAGGGGCATGTTCCCTTTGTGCTAAACAGCACAGATCAGGACCTCATGGCCAGGAGTCAGCCCCACTCATAAAACACTTGCCCATCTTGTAGCCCTGTAGTGTTCACCTGGATGCCCTTAGGGAGTCCGCAAGAGACCAGGGCACCTTCTCATTCAATGCTGAAGCTGGTGACTGTTTTGTTCAACAAATTTAATCTCCACCAGAGATCACACTTGGGCAGGTTTTTCTTGTCCTGGTTTCAGCTGGGATGCAGTTAATTTTCTTCCTAGTAGCTGGTACAATACCCTGGTTTGGATTTCTGATGAGAAGCATGTTGATAACACACTGATGTCGTTGCTGAGCAATGCTTACACTAAGTCAAGGACTTTAGGACACTGGGACAGGCTGCCCAGAGAGGATGTGCAGTCTCCTTCTCTGGAGATGTTCCAAACCCACCTGGATGCTTTCCTGTGTGACTACTGTAGGTGATCCTGCTCTGGCAGGGGGATTGGACTGGATGATCTTTCAAGGTCCCTTCCAATCCCTGACATTCTGTGATTCTGTGACTTTTCAGCTTCTCACGCTGCCCTGCCAAGGGCACAAGAAGTTAGGGATGGACACAGTTGGGACAGCTGACCCCAACTGACCAAAGGGATATTCCATATGATGTCATGCTCAGCATATAAACCTGAGGGAAGAAGAAGAAAAGGAGGGTTGTTTGGAGTGATGGCCTTTGTCTTCCCAAGCAACTGTTATGCACGATGGAGCCCTGTTTTCCTGAAGATGGCTGAACACCTGCCTGCGATGGGAAGGAGTGAATGAATTCCTTGTTTTGCTTTGCTTGCATGCACAGTTTTTGCTTTCTCTATCAAACTGCCTTTATCTCAACCCACGAGTTTTCTCACTTTTACCCTTCTGATTCTCTCCCCCACCCCACCTTGAGGGAGTGAGTGAGCAGCTGTGTGGTGCTCACTAGCTGGCTGGGGTTAAACCACGACACTCTCCTTGTGAATCTGGACTTAGATGTACTCCAGCCTTAGCCAGATTTAACTTAATTTCTATCAATACACGTCTCTCCAGTTAAAAAAAGCCTATTTTAGGGGACCAATATGAGGACATACAGATTGAGATCTTGTCAGATCTGCCAGCAGGGGACAGGGAAGGGACAGCAGGGACAGTGTCAGAGGCAGCAAGTGGGTCTGTGTTTGCACAGCAAACTAGGATGCTCCTCCACCCCAGGCACTGCTGCAGTTCACATAAGCCAAGAGGAAAGGAAACCTTTTTGATGCAAAACACCCACAAATCCAATGTCCCTCCCTTCCAGCCACATAGGGTTGCAGAAACTGCTGAGATGCTCCTGTATCAATTCTTTTTTAGAAATGGAGTTTGCAAGTTTGCATTTGAGTTCAACTCATCTCTCTCTTTTGGAGGGAGGGACGAAGGTTAATTCCTAGTCAGAATAATACAGGGAATGATCTTTCTATATATTTAATGAAGCAGTGCTTGTGCTTTCCTCAAGATAAGCAAATGAATAACAAATGCTGTAAGATAGTAGGAAAATGAATCTGTATTCTTGGCATTTTCCTGTGGATGACCCAAGTTCAGCTTCATACATGAGTCTGAACTTTGCATTTCAAGCAGGGATCCAGGCTCTTTACTATGTAAGAAGGGTATCCCTTCTCCTGATGCTGCTGTGCATGTTCACTGACTGCTCAACATATTTTCTAAGAACTCACAAACAAATCCCTTAATGAGATGATGAGCTAAAACGAATGCAAAAATAGGAAATTTCAGAAATGTCACACCTGCCTCAGATCTTATATATTTTTAGCCTGGTTCCCTCAGGAAATGAGATCAATGGAGTCATTCAGAGTCTGGCCTCGCTGGTTGCCCTCTTCATAATAACTTTTGAACACGAGTTTCACTCGAATTTGATGGACTGCAGATCTCAAAAGATACTATCAAGCTCCTACATGTTTAGTAAGAAGTGATCAGGGAGAAAAGCCACAGCTGTGGCATGACTCAGCCTGCACCAGGCAGGAGGGATCACATAGTCCCACACCATAAATCGAAAGGAAACCTTCCTTCATCCCTTCATCCCTTCATTCCTTCATCCCTTCATCCCTTCAGTCCTTCATTCCTTCATTCCTTCATCCTTCATCCCTTCATCCCTTCATTCCTTTATTCCTTCATCCCTTCATCCATCCTGCTGCTGGCAGAAGTCTGTGTTTTTATCCCAAGTGATTTTGGGCCAGACTTGATTTATTTACACTAAAACTGTCAGAAAAACTTGAGATTTAGGGTGTAGGGGGGATTATTGTTTTTTTCCTCTTTTTAAAGAAACACTAAGAATTCATTCATCCCATTATTCACCAGGGTGAAGCTTTCTCCATAGGTACAGCCTGAAAACAAACAGCCTCTGGAGATGCTTGCTCAGCCCTGCCCTTTCCTTTGGCTCTCGCCAGGACAGAGGGGTGAGGCTGCCCTGGCTGGATCTGGCCCCCACCCCTCCCGGCCATGGAAGTGGAAGATTTTTCACTGAGTTTCTCATGATTTCGTCATTCTGGGAGGACAGGGAGGGCGGACTGCCTTTGCTTGTCATGATTTTCCTCAAGAATAATTGCTGGTGCTTTCTACTGTCTTTAAGCCGTTGTGTGCTCTGTATTTCTGTTTTGTCTTAAATGAAGTGGTGGGCGTTTTCAGATTTATCTTGGGGGTTTTTTTAACTTGTTCTGTTTTCTCATGTATACATTTTTTTCACAAGCCAGTAGGATGATTTGAACATATTTACCATAAAAGCACTTCTCCCTCCCTTTATTCCTCACCTCCAGAAACCCTGGTACAAGTGAGAGGAGTTCTTAGCTTTACTCTTCCCAAGTTTCTGGCCAACTGTATATTTTAACTGTTCAATTTTAGTTCTCGATGGACAATCATAGGAACCTAAATCTCATTTCCAGGACAAACAGGAACATTAAGAAAACACACCCTTTTAAAGAGATCCCGATCTGAACCGAGAGATTGCCTGAAGTGTCCTAGGCTTGACTCCAAACCTCCTGCTTGGAAGCTGTGGGCTGAGCTTTTGCTTAGGGTACACCCAAGCTTGCGTAATGACTTGTAAGAAAGTCCCCCCTGGTATGTGGCCACATCTTGCTCTCCTTTGTCCATCAGCTTCTGTCATTTCTTCCTCTGAAACTTTTGGTGCATGTAATTTCCCTTCAAAACCACAATTTCCTATTTTCTTCAACATGTTCTTATTTTTTCTGATCTCCTCCATAGCCAGTTCTAGGTACCCTCCATAGCTGGAGACCTTGGAGCTCCCTCTTGAGTGATGGGGAAAACTCATCCCCAATCTAGGCTTGCTGGGTTTTCCCTGCCTCTTGGTCTGCCAGGATTTCCACCAAAAACGCCTTGCATAGCACTCTCATCATCTCTCTCCTCCTCCTTCCTTCTGATCATCTCTCCTACCTTGTCTCTTCTATCAGGATGTCCCCAGCTATATTTCCTCTAGAGCATCCTGCCCAGATGGTCCCCAGAAGAAGGGCCATGTTTCCCACAAAGCCCAGGCCCAGTGAGTGGGACCAAGGTGGGCAGGAGACACGACACTGCTCAGCCTGTGAGCCATCACTAAGGTGACAGGGAGAAGCAGCAGATTCTTCATTGCCATGGTAACAAGATTTTCCACACTGCGCAGTGGGGCAGGATGCTCTGTACTCTATGCATTTGGCCAGACTTCGGAGGACCTGGGGCGCTGGGGACTTTGGGGATCCTGACTTTGGTGCTTTGTAGCTGCTCAGGTAAAGGACAAGTGTGGAAGTGGGTATATTCTGCTCCGATTCCTTGGAGGGCGGATGGGAGCCTTGGAGAGGAGATCAGAACGAGGTGAGTACCCTCCAAGCTGAGCCTGAGCACTGCTTCTCTGCTTGCCTCCTAGGAGAGCCAGCGTCCTTGCCTTGGGATCTGCCAGCCAGCTCTAGCTGGGAACACTAGGGAGGTGAGATCTACAAAGCTCTCCTGATGGACCTCCCTGACCCTCCCTCTTTCCTGGGTGGAATAGTTTCCCCATCCAGCTTGTGTCCAGGTGTTGGTGGGAGGAACCTCTCCTTGCTGCCCACTCTGCCAATGACCTGGGCAGAGGATTTGGCTTCCCAGTCACAGGCAACATGAGCAGAGAAGACCCTGTCTGACTGTGGTCCCCACCAGCTCTGTTCACCACAGACTCACTTCTTAGCACTTTTTCCTACAGCTCCTGGCATTTCCTCTCCGCTAGCAACAACCTCAGATCTCCCTGCAGGATGGTCCCTGGTGGGGCTGGGTCCATCCCCATGCCACACAGCTTCCCAGTCTGCTCCAGTGCCTTCCCAACCCTCCTCTCTCCTCAGCTCCAGGCCTATTTTTTTTGCAATGCCCTAAAATTCCTGAAATGTGTCCTCAAGCTTTTGTCTCTCTTTCCTCTGGCCTAGACCTTGTCTTCATCCACATGGAGAGCAGCCTGTACTCACTGCCCTGCAGCCCTATGGAGACGGAGGTGGCTGATCCCACCTACCACTGGGTGCGGAACAGGACAGGTAAGGTCCTCGCTCCTCTCAGCTGCACAGTCAGGAGCAAGCAGCTGTGATGGGCTCTATTACCATGAGGCAAGAGAGGGGTAGGAGGAGAAACAGTCACCCAAGGAGGGAGCAGGTCTGTAGAGCAGGGGTGGGGCATGTGAAGACTGGGATGTCATGATATTGCACATGTTGGGGGGTGCTGAACTGCAAGAAGGACATGAGGTTATGGGGTAATACTGTGTGGGGTAACACCCCTTTTTCTTTCCTAATAAGGTTTGACAGGTTTTATGAAGAAAGTTTTCAGGTATTCAATGGTTCTTTTGCAGATAGTGACATTTCTGACAGAGAGGAGGGCACTGGGTTTCTTAATTTCTTCATCCCTCTCCCTCTCAGTAACTTACCAGAGAAGGAAGGGGAGGAGGAGCAGCTTTTATAGTCCTTGTAATGGTTTAAGGAGACCAAATCTAGGGCAGTCCAGGAGAGCATGACACAGCCAATCAGGAATTAGATGAGCTCAGCACAGCACAGGCAGCTCCTGTTGATCACCATGAATTCCCCTGTCTTCTGCACTAGACTCCAGGTTGTTTTTGGTCACCAAAGAGGGACATCTCCTCTTCCAACACTTCCAAGCAGGCGACAGTTGGAAGTACTCCTGCACCATCTCCTACATGAAACACGCATCCCTGTGTCCCAAACATTCCACTACAGCATGTTTGGTGAGTCCAGTGCCATGTCAACAAGCAGTGAGGCCAACTCAACAAGGGCAGGAAGGGTGGAGAGGCCATGGGGTGAGAGGAGGGGTGGGACCATACTCAGGTCTCTGCACAAGGGAGCTCCCCCTTGGCAAGGAGGAAGAACCAGATACCTTTCGGGGTTTTCTCTCACAGGCTACCATGTGCTCGGAGGCCTGGACACTGTGCTGCTCTTCCATAGCAAGTTCTGTGAGGATAAGTGGACCAAAAGCTTCCTGTGGGGTCTACAGAAGACGCTGAGGTAGCTGGAGATCGAGCAGCACTGCAAACTCCAGCTCACTGCCACTTTCTGCTTCCCCTCACTCAGCAACCCTTCGGATGAGTCCATCATCCAAGTACAGCTGGAAGGTAAAACTCCAGGCAGAAGCACCACAGCAGAGTCCCCAGGGGACAGTGTCACAGAATGCCAGACTGGTTTGGGTTGGAAGGGACCTTAAAGCTCATCCAGTTCCAACCCCCTGCCATCATCAGGGACACATTCCACTAGGTCAGTAGAGGCAGTGGGGTGGAGTGAGAGGAGCTCAGGCATCGCAGTTTGTGCTTGCAGGGGAAAGGGGAAGGCAGCAAGGGGCTGAAAGGGGAGTAGTGACATTGGGGGCTCTTGGAAGAGAATGGTGTCTAACGGCTAGATTCAGGGCTTTGCCCATCTCCTGCTGGAGCTGGGGCTGCCTGAGCTGCACTGGTGACTCTCCATACTCTAGTGTCCCTCTTTGGACCCCACTGGGATGAATATTGCAGCTCCCAGGACATGGAGATGGTCACAAACTGCTACCGCAAAACAGTCCGGCACAACCTGGGGCAGGTAAGCCTTGGGGCCAGCGTACCATCAAAGGAGGAAGCATGGCACAGAGGTTGTGTGGAGCTGGGACACTATCTTCAGGCCCAGGGATCTTCAGCAGTGCTGGAATGAAGAGGAGCACCCCTGAGGGTTTGCTCAGTATCCCTGGGCCCGGCTAGAGCTCCCACTCAAGCCGGCGGGCAGTGCCCATCCCCCTTGGCTCACACACCACATCTCCCACACTATGCCACTGGGAGGACATTTTCTGTGCAACAAGGTCTCAGCTTCCCTCTTGGACCCCAACATTGCCCTGCTAAGCTCTGCCTGCTCTGTCTTCCCCAGGTCCAGCTTGCCCTTACCAGGTTCTTCAAGGAGCTTAAGTCCTTCCACATCACTGGAGCTGATATCCCCAACATCAACTTCACCAACGAGTTTGCTGGCTTCTTAAAGACTGAGCAGTGCAGTGGCGGATATGGGCAGACCAAACAGCTGCTAAGATGTCTCGAGTGTTGCAGTGAGCCAAGAGTCCACAGCCTTTTGGTCCTCTCTCCTTTCCTCTGCTTCTCTCTTCCCCTCCCCATGCCCAGCTCTGTGTTTCCAGGTCCTTGTTGCTCTCCCCGTGCACACCCAGTGGGTTGTGCAGTGGACAGGGCAACTTTGAGCCCTTAAGCATCAGGGCTCAGTTTCCCTGACACTTCATTGAATACAACTTTATCAAAAAGCCAGTGCCATTGTTTAGAAAGGTCTTTCTACATGTCCTCTCCTCCGTTGTATGCCCACCAGGGATGTTCAGCCCTCCTAAGAACAGCCAGTGCTCCCCATGCCCTGTTGGGACCTACAGCCTCATCTATGGTGTGGCATTTTGCACTCCCTGCAAGGATGGCATGATCACCAGAGTGCCGGGTGCCAGCTCCGTGATGGACTGTGTCAAGAACAAAAGGACCAAGCAGGGTACACAGATCATCTCTTACTGCAGCAGGGTGGGGAGGGGACAGGGGGACTCTGAACTGAGGGCAGGCACTACAGTGGGACCCCAGAGCAGCTGCCACAAATCTATTGGCCATGACAACTTCTACAGCCGTTGGAGGTCCCTTTGGAGACAAGTAGTTCTTCTCTCTTCCATCACCATACCACAAGAGGTCACAGCTCCCTCCCTGCTCCTCACACCAAGCCAATGCTGAACAATCTGATTTCTCTCTCCACCTTGTTATCCCCGACTTGCCTTGAGCTCTGACAACCTCACTTAGGAGTCATGTAGGTTACAACATCCCTGCCTGTCTCTGGGGCTGGGGAGAGTTAACATCAGGATTATCTCCAGGGCTTTTAGCAGTGGGACTTCTCCCTTTGAGTCAGTCCCACCTATTTCTCTCTCCTCAGCTGTCTCCATCATGCACAGGATCCCAGGCCTGCTTCTTATCCTCTTGCCAGCATTGTTAGCCATCAACCTTCTCTTCATCCTGTAAGTCTGAGTTCCTTCTCCCAACATGGGACATTTTGGGGGCAGTTTGTTGGTGTTGAGTCTCCCAGCTTGACATTCCTCCTTGGAAGAGGAGATGAAGGAAAACCTGAGCCCATCACTGTGACACCAGCAGAAGGTGGCATGCCAGAATAAGGGTGCAGGACACCAACAGCCAAGATAATCCTTGGCAGTAGCTTACACAACCACATAAGGAGTGGTTGGGTATGGCCCTGGGGAATTCTGGCCCTGAGGGCTGGTTCTGGGTGGCTGCAGGGCTCTGATGCTGGTTCTTGGCACTAAGTTCCCATTTTTCACTATGGGCTTCTGTGTCTCTGTAGCAGCTCTTGTTACTGGTTCTATCAAGAGTACCGAGTGTCATCTCCAACGGCTTTCAAGGTGACAGGAAGCAACAAGAGGATGGAGACAGTGGCCAGTTTTTTCAGGATCCTCTGGCAGAGCCTCCAGGCTGGCCCTGATACTGGTCCTGCCAGTGACACCAGTCATCTGGACACCAGTCATCTGGACACCAGTCATCTGGACACCAGCGCATCTCAGGGGGGTGATGAGAAGCACGTGGAGCATCATCTCTTGCTGTGACCCCAAACCTTGCTCCTGTGACTGATGAGACAATTCCTGTGCTGATACTGGAGGACAGAAAGGACCATTTTTGAGATTCCCTCCAGGGACACAAGGACATTAAGGCACAGCATCCCTCCAGTCACTGCTGTCCATTTTGTTTGTGTCCCCAACCACCTCTGAAATACCCAGCAATGGAGAAGAGGGACACCATACCCTTCTTGTCCTCTCTGAATTTTTCTTCCCAAATAGCTCTGACTACAGCCACCACTTTTGCTAATAAAGAGTGACTTCTCTTTGCATCTCTGCAATACTGGATGCTCCAGACACAGCAGGGTTTGGGGGTTACAAAGAGGGCAACTATCACACAGGTTGATCCAAGTCTTCAGTGGTGGAAGGCATCATTCCCAGTCAGTCTTGCACTAAGGAATGAATCAGTTTCCTTCCTACACCACATTTTAATACAGCTCTGAGAAAGCAGCCGCTGGGAAGAGCTTAAGCCAGATCGTTTGCTGGGGTTAAGTATATATAGGACAGGGCAGGAGAAAGATGTTCCTCACTGCGACAGGCTGTCCAGAGAGGGTGTGGAGTCTCCTTCTCTGGAGATGTTCCAAACCCACCTGGACGCTTTCCTGTGCGACCTGGTGTAGGAAAAAAAAATTGGCAGGGGGGTTGGACTGGGTGATGTCCAGAGGTCCCTTCCAACCCCCACCAATCTGTGATTCTATGAAAGCTCAGCCTCAAATCTCTCCATTTTCAGAGCCAGGCTTTGCCATGAGAGGGACACAGGACTTCGGGAAGGATTCCCAACCTCAATGGCCTCAAAGAAAAGATGAGTATCTGTAGGTGAAACTTCCCTGAGCCCAGCAGCTGATGGAGAGCCCAGGAGAGGGCAGCAATGCCGTGCGAGAGGCGCTGCTCCAGCAGCGACCAGCCTGGGCAAGGGGTGGGTCAGTTTTAGAAGAACTAGGCTTTGGATCCAAAATGCAATTAAGGAAAGAGGCTGACTCTGGTTTTTGGTGTAGAAGAAGCATACTCAGAGCAGGGGCATTGGTCCAGCTCCAGGTGTTGTGTGCCGTATGGTAGTTTTAGGGGCACTAAGGTGTCCTGAGAAACTTAAAGTGTGAGCTGGCAAGTGTTTGCTGAGGCCCAATGAAGGAAGAAATGGTGTGATGCAGCCATTGCCTGCAGACCAGCTGGCCCAACAGTTGCCAGTCCATGGGCA